GTTAAAATCCTGAGAGTCAAATCAGCTCTTTGGAAATTTGAAGGGTTAAAGAGTCATTTCTAGGGTCAACCAGACACCCTGATGTTATGTAAGTTTATAATTAAGTTAATGATTTCTCTGTAAGTTTATTGAGTTATTATGTTCTGTAGGTTATTAATGTTCTGTAAGTTTATTGAGTTATAATGTAATGTAAGTTTATTGTGTGTTTATGTTCTATGAGTTGATAAAGTGATGATGTTCTTTGAGTTTATTGAGTTATAATGTTATGTAACTTCATAGATTTATAATGTTCTGTAAATTTTTTGAGTTATAATGTTCTGTATGTTCATATATTTAAAATGTTCTGTTAGGCCATAGAGTAATATTGTTCAGTAAGTTATTGAGTTATAATGTTCTGTAAGTTTATTTAGTTATAATGTTCTGTTAGTTCATAGAGTAATAAGGTCTGTAAGTCAATTAGTTAAAATGTTTATTGTTATGTAAGTTTATTAAGTTATAATGTTCTGTGAGTTTATTAAGTATTGATGTTTTATGTAAATTGAGTTATAATGTTCTGTAAGTTTATTGAGTTATAAAAGTTCTGTTAATTATTGAGTTATAATGTTCTATATGTTTATTGAGTTATAATGTTCTATAGGTTTATTGCGTTTTAAAATTCTCTCTCTTTAAGTTTATTGAGTTATAATGTTCTGTAGGTTATTGAGTTAAAATGTTCTGTAAGTTTATTGAGTTATAATGTTTTGTAAGTTGATTGTGTTATTATGTTCTGTGAGTTGATAAAGTGATGATGTTCTATGAGTTTATTGAGCTATAATGTCCTGTAACTTCATAGATTTATGATGTTCTGTTAGTTATTGAGTTATAATGTTCTGTAAGTTCATAGAATTATAATGTATTGTAAGTTTATTGAGTTACAATGTTCTGTGTCAGTTTATTGAGTTATAATGTTCTGTATGTTTATTGAGTTATAATGTTCTGTAAGTTTATTGAGTTTTAATGTTCCATAAGTTTATTAAATTACAATGTTCTGTGTAAGTTTATTGAGTTATAATGTTCTGTAGGTTAATGAGTTATAATGTTCTGTAAGTTTTTTGAGTTATAATGTTCTTTAAGTTTATTGAGTAATAATGTTTCATAAGTTTATTGAGTTATAATGTTCTCTCTGTAAGTTTATTGAGTTGTTATGTTCTGTAGGTTATTGAGTTATAATGTTCTGTAAGTTTATTGAGTTATAATGTTTTGTAAGTTTATTGTGTGTTTATGTTCTATGAGTTGATAAAGTGATGATGTTCTTTGAGTTTATTGAGTTATAATGTTATGTAACTTCATAGATTTATAATGTTCTGTAATTTTTTTGAGTTATAATGTTCTGTATGTTCATATATTTAAAATGTTCTGTTAGGCCATAGAGTAATATTATTCAGTAAGTTATTGAGTTATAATGTTCTTCAAGTTTATTGAGTAATAATGTTCCATAAGTTTATTGAGTTATAATGTTTTGTAAGTTGATTGAGTTATAATGTTCTGTCTGTAAGTTTATTGAGTTATAATGTTCTGTAGGTTATTGAGTTATTACGTTCTGTAAGATTATTGAGTTGTAAAGTTTTGTAAGTTTATTGTGTATTAATGTTCTGTGAGTTGATAAAGTGATGATGTTCTTTGAGTTTATTGAGTTATTAATGTTTTGTAACTTCATAGATTTATAATGTTCTGTAAATTTTTTGAGTTATGAGATTCTGTATGTTCATAGATTTAAAATGTTCTGTTAGTTCATAGAGTAATATTGTTCTGTAAGTTATTGAGTTATAATGTTCTGTAAGTTTTTTTAGTAATAATGTTCTGTAAGTTCATAGAGTTATAATGTTTTGTAAGTCATTGAGTTATAATGTTTATTATTATGTAAGTTTATTCAGTTATACTGTTCTATGAGTTTATTAAGTATTGATGTTTTATAAAAAATTGATTTATAATGTTCTGTAAGTTTATTGAGTTATAATGTTCTGTAGGTTATTGAGTTATAATGTTCTATATGTTTATTGAGTTACAATGTTCTGTAAGTTTATCGAGTTATAATGTTCTGTAAGTTTATTGAGTTATAATGTTCTGAAAGTTTATTAAGCTATAATTTTCTGTTAGTTCATAGAGTTATAATGTTCTGTAAGTTATTGACATACAATGTTCTGTAATTTTATTGAATTACAATGTTCTGTAAGTTTATTGAGTTATAATGTTCTGTAAGTTTATTGAGTTATAATGTTCTTTAAGTTTTTTGAGTTTTTATGTTCCGTAAGTTTATTGAGTTTTAAAATTTTCTCTCTTCAAGTTTATTGAGTTATAATGTTCTGTCTGTAAGTTTATTGAGTTATAATGTTGTGTTGGTTATTGAGTTATAACGTTCTGTAAGTTTCTTGGGTTATAATGTTCTGTAAGTTTATTGAGTTATAAAGTTCTGCATGTTTTTTAGTTATAATGTTCTTTGGGTCCATAGAGTAATAATGCTCTGTAAGTTTATTGAGTGATAATGTTCTGTAAGTTCATAGAGTTATTATGTTCATTACTATCAGGCATACATTTCCCAAATGATTTCATGTTGAAGTAGACATGAAGGCAACTGAAGAAAAAAATATATAAAGGAAAGCCAAATAATTTGTCATGTATAAATCTAGATCTATGGCTCCATCTCCAAAAACTGTAAGACAATAATTATTATTGCTACAAATAAAACAATCAACAATACACAGAAAAGATCTATCTCCTGGGCTGGGAGCATCTAGAGCTAGTTAAATATCTGATTGGTTCAAACACACACCTTCACATTAGAAAAAAAACATTTATTTTCTCATGATCTTTATGTGATAAATGACATGTTTGTTTACATTGACAACCCCCAGTTTCTTTGAAATGGTAACAACTAATGTTAGTAGTGATATCTTTATAATAGCCATATTTCATTATTGACATGTCATAATTAAATACAGAAGATATACTGGCTTGCTTCATATCCAAAATTGCTAGCAACAAGCAAGTATTTAGCTCAATAATAAGGTCTTGATAGTTTATCATGTTGTTATGTACTTATAATTCAATGTATGTTTATGTTGTTTTTTTTAAATAGTTTATTGAGTTATATAATGTGTGATTTATAGAGTTCTTTAAAGTCTTGGTCATTGAATGAAACAAAACCTTTTGACATGAACTGTACACTGAAAGATACTAACAAAATCCAAACTCCCTACAGTATTAAATAACCTCCCTTTGCAGAATGAAATCACTGCCTTCGGTGATGTCACATGATGATGAAAGTCACATGATGTAACGTCAAAATTCAAATGTAAATATTGACAGTTACATAGAAAAATCTACATCATTTTTCTCTTTTTGTTTTGTTTTTAACTTTTTGTACCTATGTTTGTTATAGTTTATTATAAAAATTAACAAAAGTATACAAAATAATGAAAAATAAATTCAAAAGCTTAAAATATAAATTATTAAAAAATTGATAAAAAAATGTGTAGTGGCAGAGATCCCTGTACTGATAAGGGGAGATCACTGTGTAGGAGATTGAACAAAACCCTGTATCATGCCTGGTGGTTCATAACAGCCTCAGCTGAGCGGCAATTCAGTATTATGAGCAGGGTGAAAAACTTCTGTAAGTTTGTTTAGTTTTGACAGTTATATATATCTAACCTATATTAAAATGCTTGCAAGTATTTTATTGTAAGATAAGTGCTTTACTTCCTGAAAGGATGTTTTATGAATAAATCAGGCCTCAAAGTTTCAAAGTACTTGACCTAATTAATAATTAAAAATATGGTAGTATAATGTAAGTGAAAAATTACCAACAACTGTACTGAAGTACTAAAAAGTTAATTTTGTCCCTTGAATAAGATTTAATACACTAGCATGCTTTGTGCTCCCAATTTTAAAGTTGGGAGCATATTGAGATTTGTACAATTGCTGTCCATAATTATAAATGTACAAAAATCTACAAACATGTACATAGTTTAATGGCTATGGGAACATCTGGCAAAAATAGGGGTAACAAAAGAGTAGCCATTCAAGTACCACAATTTCAGGACATCCATCTGTCTGTCAATATAATATGTTTTGTCTGATCAGACAGGTCGAAAGGAATTGCCAAAGTTTGTGAAACTTTATAATTGTAGAGATTCCCCATGGCCAGTAGATGACTCCTATTGATTTTGAGGTCATAAGGTGAAAGATCAATGACACTTTGTGTAAATTTGTTGTCTGATCATTTTCTTGATAGGGATTATAAGCCTAAGTTAGTAGTGACATTTCCTATAGCTGGTTGCTGGCCCCTAATGATTTTGAACTAAATAAGAACAAAGGTCAAGGTCACAGTATAAATATCTTTTTGGATCAATACTTCAGAAGGAATATGCTTAGGTTTTTAAACTTGGTAGGGACATTGTCCACAGTAAGTAGATGACTCTTTGAATTTTAGGATATTAGGTCAAGGTCAATGTAGTTTAAATTGTAAATATTTCTATTTTAGATCTGATTGTGTTTAAAGTCCTAATCTTTTGATCATATGAATAGTTTGTAACATAGTACTAGTTGAAGAAGACTTTTTTCTACATGCTCCAACATTGTCAGCAAGTCTAGTACTGTATTTAAGAACTATTTCAAAATTATGTATATTGTCTATATAGAGAGTACGTTTCTTGTGTACTTAAGTACACCCTCTTTTCATTTGCATGTGTGACATTTTGTTGGTTCTTTTTTTCAAGTGACTGCTTTCAGTCAACATAATCATGGTAATTCATATGTCAGAATGAATACAACAAGTTAATTGCAAAAATGATTTAGTTATAAGTTTCATGGTGGCAATTAGCATCTGATAGAAAGAATTGATTTTTTTTGTATTACGCTATTGTTAATCAATCTAAATAGCTTACCGGTATATAGGATAGTTCATTAGCTATACAATGACTAGTTTATCAATTATAAATAAGCTTTGTTTTATATTTTTACAGGTTTAAAGATTCTATGTTTAAGAACATAATACAATATTAAGATGGCCCGCTACCGAGGAAGGACTCGCCCTTTTTCTGTACCAACTACACCAGCTAAACATACAACTGACAAGGAAGATTCTGTAAGTTTGTTTTCTATTTTTCTGTACTATTTTGATGGCAAACAAAGTTGACTGAAAGAACAGGAAATTATAGAATTGATGTGCTTGTAACCCATCTTAAAAAGGTCTAATCAGATGGGTTTGATTGAATATTTCAGTTTACAGGGTTTTCATATTTATCAGAGGCAAAAGATGCTCAAAAGAAAACAGCCGATTTTTCCAAGGGTCTAGGGTGATACTTAAATATACAACTAATTTCAACAGCATTTTAACTGATGGTTTGGATTGCCAATCAGTTTATAATGAAAACCCAGAGTTTAGCATTTCATATTTAAGTAATTGGATGTCAATTAACAGACTGTTATTTTGGTACTACAGTCTAACTTGCCCATGCGACCACGTGTATTAAGCGACTTTTGTCTTAAACGACCACTTTAAATTCCCCCCGATCATTTTCTCTCTATATCTTTAATGTATTAAGCGACTTTTGCTCAACGCGACCAGCGACCGCTAATTAGTCCCCTAATTGACATCAATCTTTTCATTAAACGACCACTTTTACCTGTCAAGTAATTGTGTTTTAAGAGAACGCCACCTCGTTATGTCACAAGTGTCAGCAATCAAAACACAACAATAAACGTGTGAAAAACTCTATTTCCCATACCGTTTTAGCGTATGCAAATGAAGTTAAGTATACGCGTGACGTGTTTTATCCAATAATATCGGATAAACAATGCAACGCTCCGCCCATACTGAGATGGTGTATACGCTTCGCTTGTTGACATTTAGACTGCATTGAATTGACCTTGAACTTGATCAGCCATTAAATTAATCGTAACAAATAGATGTAGTTTGTTTATTTCAAATGAAAAAATGCACAACAGAAAACATCTTCACTAATAGGGTTTTCGTGTTGGAGACAAGGAAAAACAACGGAGAAGTTAAAAAATTCTGGAAAAAATGTCAAACATGTATGTAATGGATCAAAACTGTTTTGTCAATAAATATCGGAACGTTATTTTTACATTTGCATCCGTTTAGATTATCGGACCGTACTTATTTTTCAACATTTATATAAAAATGAAGTTGAAAAACAATCCCATCAGTAAAAAAGATGTCATTTATAAATTTTGACTTTTATATCATGCTGACTGTCTTAAGAGACCGTTTCATTAAGCGACCGTTTTTGGTGTTTCCCTTGCCCGGTCGCTTAATACACGTTTCACTGTATATACAGAATTGTATGTGATGTGGATTAAGGGGTCATGACCCCCACCAGCATTTGGTTAGTATCTGAGTTTTTATATCAACTAATGTTTCTTCTAGCGAAAATAAAAAATTGCTCAAAAACTGTTGTGTCATTTGGCATGTATGGTTCATTGGGGGATATAAGGTTGGTTGGTTGACTTATAAGAAAGGTTTATGTCGGGGTTTAGAACTGTTATCCATTTAGGGGAGAAGATGTGTAATCTGTCAGATAGCTCCTTTGGTAGAGTGGTGAAATGGTATTCCAAAGGTCCTAGGTCCAAGTCCTGGTCAGGCTGCACATTTTTCTCTCCCTGTGATATTGATATGAAATTGGTTGGCTGAATTCTTACATTTTATACAGCATTAATAGGTACATGCCAACTATCAAATCACCATCATTAAACGTTGTATTGCGAAATCATTTTTGCCCTGAAAACAATGGTTTATTGTTATCAGTTTAGATAGAATAAATCTTGATATCTACATCTAGGAAACAGCAGCAGGTTTTGGAGTAAATGATCTTACAGTTTATACACATATCAACATAGGCTATAACCACATAATAACTGTATCTGTGAATTCATTTGTCAGTCAAAATATCAAAATTAGTGATATGACACTAGTATGTCAAATGATCATGAAACATAATAAAATAGATATAATAAAAATAATAATAAAATAATAAATTAAGGTAAAAGAAAACCAGGTTTTTCAGAGTTTTTTTGTTGTGTTAGTTCAAGCAGTAGTTGTATCATGTACAAGCATGCAGTGTGTTACCTATAACAGAGTACCATGCAATTTTGGCACCAATGTTACATTGTTATTTGTTTTGACAAGCAAGTGTCACATTTGAAGGCATTTGAAGTAGTGGGTGGGGGGATTTGTTTTAACCTTGATTTAGACCAATGCTGTAAAAGCATGTTACAGAAAAAACATGTTCCACACCAATGCTGTAAAAATATATGACAGATAAACATGTTATGCACCTATGCTGTAAAAATATGTAGCAGAAAAACATGTTCCACATCAGGAAGAAAAGATTACCTACATTTTATCCAAAGTCAATGAGACCTTGTAAATTAGTCCCATTGTGTAGAAATATGTATAATCCAATAAAGCATACAAAATCTATGGTCCCTCAGGGTAATTATTCTGATTCACTTGGTAACATGGTGACCAATGTATAAAAGTCTTGTCCATAATGGAACTATGTCAATAATTATATCATAATGCAACTTATAATGTCAATAATTATATCAATTTGCTGACTATAGATTTGTTAAAAATCAACTTGTCCCACTTTGAATTTAATGAGTTTTTATTTGTGACATTGGTTTCAGGATAAAAAACACAACATTTACATATGAGGTGCTCACATTATCAGCCTTAACTGGTTTGCAAGTCTATTGGTCATTTTCATATGATATGTACATGTATGACTTCCTCATATTTTTATTTTGTCAATTATATGTATGTACATGTATATAATGCAATAATGCCCGCCAAAATGGCTGCAATTTTGTGAGAGGGGAATAAAATATTGTAAAATCAGGAACAATAAATATTGTAAAAGTCAGGAACAATATATTGGGTGTGCGCAGGTGCACTTTAATCTTCTATTCAGATGGCAAAGGCTTTCAATTAGAGTGGCCATACACAGAGAATTAAGTGCAAATAAGTGTATTACTTAACTCACTAATCAGCCAAATTGATTTTTCCCAATATTCCAATTAACTATTGTGAAATAATTAGTCAATGAGACAAGTTAGTATAGAGAGATATTGATATTGTATGTAATCTAAGGTTGATTCATATCATACCAAACTTTATTCACATCAATATAAGGTTCTTATATAAGAAGTATTAATGAATGAGATTCATTTATGGATGAAATCCTGTTAAGGAATCTGGAGTTAATGAAAATGGGCTGCTAATGAACTTGGTCAGTCTTCTTTATTGTGATTACAAAGAATGGAAGTATAGTAAGATATAGAATGTTTCTGGTAAATAATTAATTCTATCAGTACTTACATTTGTGTTCTTTATTATACTTAATAAGGATAAACAAAACAGGTTGGTAGTTTTTATGTGATAAAAAATTTGATGCATATTTAGTTTGAAACTTATAAAATGATGAATTGTTTTTGTAAAAAAAACAACAAAAAAGTGAATCTGATGATTTTTCTGAAATACATTTCCAAATAATATCTATTTATATGCTTTAATTATCACTCTTATAATTTTGTCATGCATGAACCTAATTGAAGTTCTTCATATTTTAAATCATACCAGGTCTTATACATGACAGTCAATTTTTTTTTTGGAAAGGAACATGCATATTTTTTTCTTTCATGGAAGGCAATATCACCTTCCAATGCTGTTTTTTCCAATATTGCATTACTGTGCCCAACAATTACAATAATATTCCATGCAGATACTTGAACTTTAAAATATAGTTTGATGCTATTGATATGATAAGTAAATTTGAAAAAGAAAACACTTAAAATAAAAAAAAATATATAATGTAATCAATTTTTTGAATACTGTTTCATAGATTTACTAAAATTTTTAAAAATTTTATGCAAACATAAATTAACACTCATTATAATTGTTTTAAATGTGTAAAATTCCTTTGTTGACAACAATTATATACTGTTGACAGCAATTATATACTGTTGACAGCAATTATATACTGTTGACAGCAATTATATACTGTTGACAGCAATTATATACTGTTGACAGCAATTATCTCCCTTGATCAGTAGGATGTCATGATATAGTTAATTACCAATGAAGGGCTCCAGCCCATGCAAAAATACACAAAGTTACACACAATTTTTTATAAGTTCATTACATGAGATACATACGGTAGGGAATCATGGACAGGTGGAAAATTGAAAAAGAGAGTAATTTTAGGTTATAGTATAAGGCAAAACATGTGAAAAGAACTTGCCTCATGCTATTGAGAGAAAGACAGCATAATGTAACAGTTAAAATATCAAAAGAATTGAATCCTCATATCAATAACATTCACTTTTGATTCTGCTTATTTACCATAAACAAACAAACAGAACTAGTGATAAACATAAATTACAAAACCTTCCCCCACAAAAAAAAAAGTACATATCCCTCATGAGAACCAACTTATGTTTGGAAATTCCTTGTTATTGTTAAAACTCACAGAAAATATCAATTTTAGGAAATCTTTTGAATGAAAAAGATGCTAATAAAGTTGTAAAACTTGTAAATTTAGTTTAAAAAGGGAAGTAAAATTAGTAGAAATGTTTAGACTTATCTTTATTGAGCTTGCTTGTGACCCTTTTATCATATATTTAATGTATTAAGAACAACATGTAAAATAATCAAGACATTATTTTTCATCAAGCCTTCGGCTTCATAGTACAAAATAGCATTTCATTTTGAATTTATTGTTTAAGTCGCGTATTCAAAGGTTTAAATTTCCCGCTATATCACGGACATGCGCGTGACTACCGGAAGTAATAACCGGAAGCATGAAACACATGTTTTCACTTTTTGTTTTGGCGTTGTGGTTGTCGCGTGTTTTTGAAAGTTTTAAAAGTTATTTTGCGTTTAACCGCATTATTATGGCCCAAGAGGCTCTTCTCGATAGGATAGACCTTCATGCTTCGGGTGAGGAGGGAGATTTTTCTGGGTTTTCGGACCAAGAAATTACCGGTAAGAAAGAGAAAAAGTCTTCGGACAAAAAACGGTTAAAATCCGTCGTGGTGGAGAAAGAAAATAAACCCCCTCGTGGTAAAGGCAAAAAACAGTCAGGTAAAACTTTGAATACTAATTCTTCGGAAATATCGGACAGAAATTTATCCTCGGATAAATTTGATTTGAAAAACTTATCTAATAAGGATATTGAAGGTCTTAGGACTCTTCTTGGTATACAGCCTGTTGTTCAACAGAATCCTCAGTTTTCTCCTGATTGTGATAACTATGACTATAATGAGGATAATTATGATTATATGGATGATGAATCTGTGAATGATAACTATTCTGCTGTTCCTGCAGCATTAAAACCTAACCTTAGGGGTGGAGGTTGCTGCCCAAGATGTTGATATTGAAGATACAGGGATTCGTAATCTGTCAAAAGATTTTTCTTCGGCTTTTGACGATGGTTGTACTGATAATAGACTTGAGTCGGATAGTAATACATGGGATCTTCCCAAATTAAAGATACCAGAGAAAGGTGAGCCAGTGAATGAGTCCTTGGCCGAATTTTAATTAACACGCATTTACTGCCCAGTGTGACTTAGACTCTATTTTGAATAAGTACCAAGTACCTAAGAATTGTGACAGGGCCATTCCGCCCATTGTTAACCAGGAAATATGGAAAACATTAGACAAAAGAGCCCATTTTCAAGATAAGTTTATGGTGGACATACAAAATCTTGTGGTTTCGGGCCTAGGTCCAGTTGTTAAGTTGCTTGAGTTTGTGAAAAAGAACAATCTTATGAAAAATGAGGCAAAATGTATCTTCTCTGACCTGTTTACTGTTCTGGGTCAGGTGCAATACAACCTCAGTTTGAGGAGGAGATATCTTATAAGACCGTATTTGAAGAAGAAGTATTCTTCATTGTGTAGTATTTCGATGCCTATAACAACCAAACTTTTTGGTGATGATGTTTCAAAAGAAGTCAAAAGTTGTGATGCTTTATCGTACATTGGTAAGGATTATACTTACAGCAATTATAGAGGTGTCCAGCGTAGACGCTCTGGTCGAGGATTTGTTAACTCAAATTTTAGTAATTACGGCTACCAGTCATCTACATACAATCAGCGTTCTGGTTTTAGGACTAGACCGTATCCGTTACGTGGACAATCTTTCAAGATTGGTCTAGGCGGACGAGGAAGAGGCATGAGAAGAGATGCCTTGGCTTCTGCTACAGCCAGTGCCCCAAACGATCAGGAATAAATGAAAGGGTAAGTCAAGTTGGACGTACACAGTATTTTTTAAGTGTATGGAAAAAATTTACTTCAGATCCTTGGATCTTGAATGCAGTTTCGGGGTATAAGATAGATTTTGATGAAAATCCTTTTCAAAGAAGCATTCCTAATGAAATTCCTTTTTGTTCAGATCAAAAAGCAATTGTTCACAGGGCTCATCCTGGGGGGAAATTTAAGGGAGAAGTGACTTCCTCGCGAATTAAAGGGAGAAGGGAAACAACCAAATGTGTATGCATTAACATGCATGGCTATACATCCTTTAATTATAATATAAACACAATTAACATCACTTATAATATTTCTCCAGTTTATTAATTAATAGTAGATTAATTAATAGTAGTATTAATTAAAAGTAGATTAATTAGTAGTAGATCTGGCAATGGCATCTAAATGTTTTTGAGCTGCAAATATGAATATAAAAAATTATTTTTGATAATTCTATTGATCAGCTATTTATAAGCTTTCTCTAAATATGTGTTTATATATTTTCATGTACATTTGCTGATAGTAATGTGTAAGAAAAGATGTGATGATAAAATCAATTTCATATTTTTTCTTTCCTCACTTTTATTAGAAGATGAAGTCACCTTGGATATTGATGAATAAAATCTGTTCTATTCTGTTCTGGTAACAGAAATTTCTTAGAAACTCCTGAATGTTGTAATGTCAGACTTATATGCATATAATTATGCTGATAAAACAATTTTCAAACATCAAAGAATATGTAAAATATGTATTGCAAACATTTGTGCACATTATATTTGATCACTAAAATTACATGCATTCATTTCTTATTGAAAAATTTGACTGAGAAATTGTAGAAAATTAATTTCTAATTACCTCCCTTTATTTTCATGAAATGTTAAATTCGGTAATATCTTTATAAATAATGCTTTTTAAAATTTACAATATTGATAAATCTTAATCTGAGCGTCATATTTACGACATTAAAACAAATATGTATATTGAAACAATAAGAACTCTTCTTCTTGACAAATTTTGTTGTTATATACGTTACATGATATACGACCGATATGTAGTTTAGCCGGGATGTCTTGCCCACGTGCGTAAACTGTGTCAAATTTGGCATTTCTACAAAGAGAACAAGGCCAAACACCCCCATTGTCTACAACATACCAATCGCAAGATTTTTGCGAAATGGTTTTCTTAAATTTTCGCGTAGGTGTATCAGAATCAGTAACTCTCTTTTACTGCTAGGTTCGGGCATTTCGCCCGGTAGCCATGACGTGAGCGACATAACAATTTTACAGTAAAAATTTTATGTTAACAGACTGAAATCATTCAAAACTATGATTAAGTTTTTAATCCGGTCGCTGATCATTAATGAAATTGATTATTTTTAATTGACTAACAATTTTGTGATAGCCATGAAAAATCCATTGCACATCGCCTTTACTCGAGTTAAAAACCCACCATCGTGTATATCAATTGGGGAAGATTGCACGTGTTTAGATAATCGGGGAAAAAACAATGTATAATTATCGCCAAATCCCGTATTAAACTCGCAAAACTATCACACAATTATACCGTTTCGGGCCGATGCTCTCATTATTTACTGTTTAGAGTAGGCGGTCTATCGCTTCGCTTACAGGTACAGAAGGGTAGTATAAAGCGAAGCTCTGATTGGATAATGATAATTAGCGGTCGTCATATGGGCGGATACAATCTCTGCTCTTTACATCGCTAAGTAATTACTATTTGGGAATTAAGATTTTATCGGCGATGTTGACTTCTCTTTGATCAATCGGAAGAGCGAAATTGGAATATACACGGCGAAGTTTTCGCCTGAATCGCCCTTCCGGATGAGCCCTGTGTTCATAATGAAGTTCAAGATTTGTTGAAAAAAGGAGCAATTATTAAATCAGAATCAGAGATTGATCAATTTATTTCAACAATATTTATTGTTCCTAAACCTAATAATAAATTTCGACCAGTTATAAACTTGAGATTTTTAAATGAGTTTGTACAATATAGTCATTTTAAACAGGAAACATTTTCTATTGTTTTGGATTTGATTAAACAAAATGACTTTATGACAAAAGTTGATTTATCTGATGCATATTTCTCTATTCCTATACATCCTTCACACTGGAAATATTTGAAGTTTTCATTCAATTCTATTTTATACTCATTTGTATGTTTACCATTTGGTTTGAAAATAGCCCCATATTTGTTTACTAAAGTATTACGTCCCATTTTTGCTTGGTTTAGACAGCAAGATATACGCTGTTCTTATTATATTGATGATTCTATTAATTTCAATGAGTTGTCACATGTGTGTTTGAATAATACGGTTACTATTACAAAGACATTACAGAGTTTAGGATTTACTATAAATGAGAAAAAGTCTGTACTAATCCCTTGTCAGAGAATTATTTTCTTTGGTCATATTATTGATACAGTTCAGTTCAAGGTATTTTTGACTGATGAAAAAGTGCAGAAAATTATGTCGAAAGCATCCTATTTATTGCAACATCACAGAGGTTGTTTTGGTCAGACAGTTGGCATCTTTTATAGGTGTGATAGTTAGTTCTTTTTATGCAATTTTAGAAGGGCCACTACATTATAGAGCCCTTGAGAGAGAAAAGTTGATAGGTTTAGGTCAAAATATGAATTTTGATAATAAAGTTAGTTTATCTACGAAAAGTATCCATGAAATTCAATGGTGGTTAAAAAACGTGAAGAATAAAAATGGTAAAAGAATCAGGCCTATTTCTGTATCCAGAAGGTGTTTTACAGATGCGTCGATGGAAGGTTATGGTGGAATAGACCTGATTTCTGGCTTGCACACACAAGGCAGATGGAAAAATCAGGAATGTGGTTATCATATTAATTATTTGGAACTCCTTGCAGTTTTTTACTGCATGCAAGCATTTTACAATGAATTTTGTGATATTCATATTGAGATTCATTCAGATTCTGTTTCAGTGGTAACTTACATAAATAATTTTGGTGGTATGAATTCTTTGGAATTAGATGACCTTTCAAAATGTTTATGGGAATGGTGTTTAAGTAGAAATATATATATTTCTGCTGTACATGTCCCTGGTAAATTAAATAAAAGTGCTGATTATTATTCTAGAAATTTTTCAGATTCCACTGAATGGACATTGAAAAAAGATATTTTTGAAAGATTATGTAGACACACATTTATGCCTAACATAGACCTTTTTGCTTCTAGACTTAATAATCACTTACCTAAATTTGTTTCATGGTTTCCCGAACCAGGGGCTTACGCAGTTAATGCTTTTTCATTATCATGGAAGGATATGATACCATACATTTTTCCTCCATTTAATTTAATTGGGAAAGTACTAAATAAAATTGTTATTGATGAGGTTGATAGAGCTCTAATGGTTGTTCCTTTTTGGTTCACACAACCTTGGTTCCCTATTCTACTTGAAAACCTTTGTGATTTCCTATCAGGTTACCCAGACACAGAGATCTTCTAGTGTTGCCGCACAATGGAACATTACACCCATTAGGAAGAAAATTAAAAATGATTGGAGTGGTGTTATCAGGGAAAGCCTGCAGAGTAAGGGAATTTCATCAATTGTTGCAGATTTCATCGCAGAATCTTGGTCACAGGGCACAAGAAAACAGTATAGCAGTGCCTGGAAAAGATGGTATATGTGGAATTCTATTAGATGTTCCAGTCCAAATTGTTCGTCTGAAGGTGTAGTCGTGAGTTACCTGTATTTTTTATTTCAATCTGGTATGTCTTATTCCGTTATAAATCTTCATAAAGCGATGTTAATGCAAACATTGTCCTTATTGGGAAATACATGGTGCAGTGACAACAAAATGATTGTAAGATTCATGAGAAGTGTATTTTTACATAAACCGGCTAAACCGCGTTATATAATGATTTGGATGTTTCTGTTGTTTTGTGTTAGTTACAAAAGTTTAATGCCATTATCTAGGTTATCTTTGAAATTATTAACTTTTAAAAACCTTAGCCTTGATTGCTCTTGCAACTGCACCAAGAGCTCAGACTTTGTTTCTTTAACTTTAGACAATATGTTTATTCAACAACAGGCAGTTGTTTTCACATTCACGGATATTTTGAAGACATCCAAGACAGGTCAATATTACTCTATAAGGATAGAGCATTATCTGGAAGAAAATATATGTCCAATGCATACTCTACTTTATTATGTTAAAAAGACTGCTGATATTAGAAAAAGTAAAAAGGTGTTTGTTTCATATGTTACCTTTAATGCTGTTTCTTCGAGCACTTTGGCAAGATGGTTAAAAAATGTGTTAAGTTTAGCAGGGATTGATATAACTAAATATAAGGCACATTCTTATAGAGGAGCATCAGCTTCGGCTGCCTATAATAAAGGATGTTCAATAAGGGAGATTTTAAAAACTGCTGATTGGAAATCATCTAAAAATTTTATTGTAGAAACTTAGAATCTGGTATTTCTTATAATGATGCTGTTTTTGGAACATAGAATATTTTTTGGGGTATTAAACTTGGAAAATATTTGTTTTTTGTTGCCTTTAAAGATGCTATTTTGTACATGTGAAGCCGAAGGCTTGATGAAAAATAATGGACCCCCATCCAAGCTTTAGTGCAGGATGGAGGGCATTATTTGAATAAAGCCGGAGGCTGAGCATGTACAAACCCTCCCTTGTGTATAGTATCATAGTATGTGATTAATGTCTTATTATATAATATAGAGAGGTTTTAACCCTCCCTTAGTTGCTTTATTGCAACAAAAAACACTCTTTAAATGAGTGAAAACATGTGTTTCATGCTTCCGGTTATTACTTCCGGTAGTCACGCGCATGTCCGTGATATAGCGGGAAATTTAAACCTTTGAATACGCGACTTAAACCATAAATTCAAAATGAAATGCTATTTTGTACATGCTCAGCCTCCGGCTTTAT